GCTTCTTATTGTGCTATACTTTCCGTATTCCTTAGTTTAAATAGTATCAGTATTCACCCTAAGCGTTTTAGAAGGGCGGCCGGCTTGCCTGTCCTCTGACCCCTATAAATGCACGCTCTATGCCCTTTTGTAAAAATAAGCCAACATCCCTTAAAACACTGTCGTTTTATTCATATTCCATTTTCAAGAACAATTTATTAAATGTTAAAGTAATAATTGCACACAATAATTATCTGTGTTTATAGATGTAATTCTAAATAACCATTACAAATATTTACTTAGTTAGGATTATTCTTAACTGTTTAAATTTTTTTAAGTTTCTCATTTTTAAGGTATATTTCTAAATTCTATAGGAGATTTTAAATTTTAAAATTATTTTTTTTTTAAAAATGAGCCTGTTTATTTTCCAATAATTTTCAGTATATGTTATAGAAAAAATCTTTTAAGCCGTTGATCAGAAAATATTTTTTTTTTCTGAAAAAGAATTGTATGCACAGAGATTATCTCTTAGCATGCCTTTAGTTATTATTTATAAACTACAATTTCTTCTCTTATTTAGATAACGAGTGAAAATCTATCCTGGAATATCTATCCTATGAATATCTATCCTGATAATAAAACTTTAATTGCAGATCAAATTATTAATTTCAATCTCCTTTTGTTAACTTTTTCATATGCCTAAGATGGAAAGGTACCCTGTAAAATGCATTTTTTGTACCTTTTATTGCGACCAGACGAAAGTTATACTTTAATTATAAGTATTTATATTAATTTTACCTTAAATTATTAATTTATTCCCTATAAAATATTAATTAATATCCTATAAAATGTTAATAAATCTTGTAATTAAACTTGTATAGTACAATACTTCATAGTTTATATTAACGAAGAAGAAAGAAATTTTATACTAGTTGGCCATCTGTATAATTTTTTAGTTTATAAAATTAATTAAATACATCATTTTTACACTCTCAGCCATATACATACCCTATAACATGTGAAAATAATAAATGTCTGCAGAAAAAGAGATTTTAAATTAAATTTATAAAATAAACCAACTACATCACCAAACTATTTTATTCTTGACTATACTTATAATGTATAAAATAGTCTCTAGAAAAGAAACCTATGCAGTTTGAAAGCCAAAATTGATTAAACATCATTCTGAAATTGTGTTCACATTTAATTGTCTCTTTGAAAAATATTAAATAAAAAAAATAAAAAAGTAAAAGTATGAAATAATTAGAGAGATGAACACGAAACAATTGTTTAGAGCAAAGCGAGATGTTAGAGTGGATCCAAATATTTGAATTAATTTTGATAAAATAATTGAATTTACTTGCTTTTTTTTCTTCTATCTAAATTAAAGTCGAGCTGAAATTATTTCAAAACAGCGAATGAATTTAACCAACTCACATAACAAATTATTTTCTTGGAAAATTGAATTACGACATTTATTCTTCTATATTATTTTTGGGAAGATAATTAACTATCTTCACGAAATATGAAACCAGAATCTAGGAAATAATTATTATTTAGTTAGAATAGTTCAACTTCATTAAAGATGTGCGAACATAAGCGATTGCGTAAATCTAATTATTTAATCAGAATATTCTAAACAAATCATGAAAGGTAAATAAATTATACTTCTTTAAAAGAGCTATCATGACAATCTTACTTTATTTACTCTGTATCTATAATATTCAACGTAGGTTTATAAATAAAGCATGCAATAAGTACTTGAAAGTTAACTACTGAAAACTTCAGTCCTTACTTTGTTTATATTAGTGCCTTTTAAGAGCTATCTAGAAAATTCCCCATTATAGTTTTTCTAAACTAAGAAATGAATTCAGGCAGAAAAAAATAATTAAAAAACCAACACCTAAATGGTAAAGACATTTCTCATAATAAAAAAAAAACAATAATTCTGATAATTAACACCAAAATGCATGGCTCTTAAACTATACGTTTAAGGTTCTTTTTTTTCTATTCGTTATGCATTTTTTTCCTGTGCTCATTTCTGCCTGAACGAGCAAACCAGTAAAATGAAGAGGAAGCATAAAAGTAATACTGTAAATAATGGAACTTTCTTCATGAAACTTCGTTTTTGACGAAACCGTTCCTTGGTATAAGCTCTGAGCGAACATTTTGTCAAAGTGACGAAATAACTATCGTCACTTCTTCGAGAAAACGAATTTCTTCAATAGTATGGAAATATTTCGCAATCCCAGTTTTTTCTACAAAAAAAAAATCGTTGGGCTTAATCAAAATTTTCTAATAATCATTTTATCGAATCGCAGGAACATTATTTATCTGAATCAATGACACCTTTCAACTTAAGAAAAACAGATAGAACAGATAGAAAAACAGAGATAAATTACACCCATGTCCGCAGCGGGATTCAACCCTTGGATCTTCCTGTTACGAGGCCAACTCCTTGACCACTATGCAGAATGTTTGGATATGTCGTCACCTTATTTTCAATCGTCTAGTCTTCAAATTAGTTTCGTCATTGTAGTTAAGAATCTCCCACAATGCGTAACGATAAGGTTTCGAGAAGAGGAAATATTTTCATCATAGATTTTCCGTCTCGTCACAAATCACGTAATTTTGCGATGAAATGAAACTCAAAATAAACTAAATATAGCTAAAAATTGCTAAATCGTCAAAAAAACGCTTTATTTCTGAAAGCGTAAAAGTTGACTCTCGAAGAGTTGTCATTAAAAAAAAATCTAAAATAATGGGGAAATTCCCTTAAAGTATCATTCTGATGACACAAAAAGCAAACAGGTTAACCCTCAACTTCGATACTATACATATGTTTTTGGAAGTAGTCATGACAACGTAGCAACGAACGAAAGCAAGCAACTCCAACAGACTAAATCAAGGTACTGGGAACTTTTATTGAACAGGATAGTCCTCTTCTTATCAACTGCTGATGTAAGAAGAGTCTGTTATCTTTCATTTTGTTGTAGACAATTCTTCGACAAGAAAAAGAATCAAACTGAGACATAAGACATTCATCGAGTCTTATTTGCTCATTTTCCAAAAGTCGCTGGAAATCCACTGAATTGTAGCGCTTTTGCTGGATTTCTATAGTTCCAAAAGCTTCATTCAACAGGAATGAACTTGCTCAGTTTGGTGATATTTTGGACTGGCAATAGACAAAATAGAGCCGTGGTGGGTCAGGGAGATAGGGGATCGTCTCTCAATGAGGTGATCCGGATTCGAATCTCAGCTATTAGCTGATCGATACGAATTGCGCACCCAGCTCGGACCAACCACACTGACGAAAAATATTCCAAGTAGTAGACTCATGAGTTAAAGTCCGCTTGCCGTCGGGCTAACCATGGAAGATTTTAGTTATTTTTCTCTACATGTAATGCAAATGCTGGTTAGTTCCATCATAAAGTCTTCCACGAAGGCAAATTTCTTTTGTTCCAAAAGCTCCCTTGTCTTCTGGATTTTGTTGAAAATTACAGACAAATAGAGTTTGTACAGTTCGCAAAAAAAACGAATCACCCTGAATAACTTTCGTTCTAATAAATGGATTTTCACGAACTAAGTGTCAATCTTAATGATTCCTGGGGGTGACCTCAAATATGCTAATTAATTAGTGCTAACTAGTAATTAGAAATCAGACACAAAAACGCACTTTCTCTGAATAAACATACATTTTTTTTCACATATTTGGATTCTTAACCTTCAAAATATAGGGGGTAGCCGCAATCTGGGAAATATGGTCCCCATAGTTTGGTCAGGAGAGCGATCCAAAGTTCGTACCCCTTAATGTTAATTTCACTTTTTACGTTTTTAGTCATATTTTAAAAACTAATAAAGCAATTCGAAGAAAATTTCACCCAGTCATAAAACTCATTTACCCAAAGATAATTTCACGAAAAAAATAATTTTTAATAATTGTTAATTATTTTTTATTATTTAATTAAATTAAGGATGAAAAATTTTTGAATTATAAGGTATGAATTTTTTTATACCATATTAATCTACATATTTTTCAATTGAAAAATCTAAAGTTTCAACTGTTTTTATTTATTAGAA